TATTATTATTATATGCTGCCCACAGCACTTGTCATGAACCCCAACATTACATTAAAACGTTTTGAAAACCTTGGTTCATTTACGTTACGGACTCTGGGATTTTCCTAAAAGAATTTCATGTTTACTTTTAGGGGTAAATTTATTATGGATGTTCGATGTTCGCCTCAATGCCCTCCGTAATTATATTTCTCTCAACTGATCATAGCACGTGTTTATCGAACACATTTTCGTTTGCTGTCTGTCAGCTTTGTTCACCGGATTAGTCTGCTAATTGCACCCAATATTTGCACAATACAAATAAAACATACATATAGTTTCAAAACTAGTTCAGTGATAATATTTTCAGCGATAATAGTGGGAACCTCTGGCTCTTGTCCTACAGGTCGAGCAAAACGCAAGAAAAAGGGCAGACAACAGAGAGGATTTCAACTCAAAATAGCTCTTATTTATTTCGCCAAACAGACTTTGCGGTCAACTCGCTGCACCGTACCCCTGATTCCCAGCATAGAAAACCACAGCTAGATAAAATGTATCAAAATTGTACAAGTCGGAATATCCATACCTTTTAGTGGCCTATTTATTAGAAAGTTATCTCCAGAGCACGCACTTAGCCAGACTAAGAACCAGGTCAGCGCACCTGTGCCCTAATTAACCCGCCAACAATGCGCCGCCGGAGCCTATCAGCTGGTGATTTTTTTTCTTTAGGTGGGTTGCTGAAATGTCACCCCTCGTGTTTGGGGTTCACAGCTTATAATATGTGTGCAAACAAGGGATTACTCCTTTACACGTGTCAAGCTGGGGCGTGTGTATGCCGGTCTCCAAACTGTACCCACGCCCATATTTGCATAAATTTAAATATTCATTAATACTTCAAAGACCCATGATTAAAGACATTAAATATCATAGGTTTTGTTCTTGGAGTTGTTTGTTGTTGAGAATAAGTTTATTTAAAATGATATAAAATCATTTCCTCAAATCTTGGTGACAAAAGTGAGAGTTATTACTATAAAAGTGATTTTTTTATCCTCAATACTGTGACTAGAAAGTACACCGTTTTGTAGACTTCAAGAAGCTTCAAGTTACATTTATTCTTGATTCCTTTTTGCAAGTTAAGCATCGGAGAGTCACAATAGCTGACGCCACTCGCCGTGTTTGGGGTTCATGGCTTAATACGTCCCCCATGCAAACAAGGAATCCTTCACTCTAGCTTCTCTGGTGATTATTAATCTTCAAATTACTGATGACTCAAAAACTACTGTTTGTTTTTGTATACCTAACTTACCTGTGAAGAAATCATGTATGGCATGTTGATGTGCATACGTGTGTGTTAACTACATGTATGTACATGTATGTATGTCATATTTCTGCTTTTGTGGGAATTTGGAATGGCCAAATAACCAAATATTTTGAATATTCGACCAAATGGAAGGTCGAATATTCAAATAGTCAATAATTCGAATTGACTCAGCCCTATTTTCATACGTTATTTTAACTTTGTAATTAACATCCTCTCCTAACTAAATCTGTATTCTTTATCCCCCTTTTAACTGATGACTTCATCAATCCAGAAATAACTTGTATGGGGGCAAAACATAAAATGTATACATAAATTTATCATACCCTAAAAAATGCTCCCTTTTAAAAAGCAAACTAATTGGTTGTACTGGAAAGGTTAAATTTTGTGATCCTTTGTCCTGACAAAAATATTTTTAAGCTAAGTGGGCAGTGTTGAATGAAATAGTTGTCTGTAGTCAGGGAAAATCTACTGTGCATCAATTCAATGCCTTTCTGTCAGCAAGCACATGAGGGTGCAGACATCAGGTTATCTTGTTTGGTGCATCTTCGTTGACAGATCACATTGGCAAACATGCCGCAACAATTTCAAAGAAATATTTACCCAGAAACTGGACAATATTGTTCAATAGCTGAATAGTTTATGTGTTAGCCAGACAGAGATTGCTGATTGTGTCTCTGAATTGGAAAAACAGTGTGCTGAGGAGCAGCCAGTGATGCAAAACCATGCACAAGATTTGACCCATGATGTGGTCCAAGATGGTGGCGCTTCCAACACAAGTGATGCGGATGTAAAGGCACCCCTCAGTTCTGGTGCCAGTCAGGCCACTTATATTATACAAGCAGACTTCCACTCTATTTCTTCCACCGAGAACCTGAAAACATCTGTATTTGTCTACTTTCAAACAGAAATATAAATCGACCCTGTTGTATAATTATTGTGGTCCCGTGTAACCCATTAACTTCGAGATTGCTCGTGCTACAAATCTTATCCTGCTTGTTAACTGGCATGTAAAGTTTGTGTATTGTCCTTTTCTATTGTTTGTCCTGTGTTTTATGTATTAAAAGCAACTTTAAATTTGTATACAAGGGGCCTACGATTACAAGCTTAGCTTCTTAGTAGGTTCCTCTACAGTCTCACTATCTGTCTATAAAGAACCTTTTTGTATTAATTACTATAATTAAAAAATGTGACACTGTGGAAAATAAATGAACAATGAACAAATCTATTAACCCTAACTCCCTAGCATAATTTACTGGGAACCATACTCATTCTGGCAAATTCCAACACCCACATGGGAAATCATACACACTCACTGTTGGACTTAGTTTCTGGAGGTACTGGTATGCCAAACCCAATGTAAAAGACCATCAGTTTAGGGGTACAGTATCTATCCCAGCATATTTCAACAAAACCTGCTGTTGGGCTTTGATGGGTTGAGTTCGGTTAGGGTTAAGAACTCTCTGCAGAAGGTAAAGTTGCCAGGCGACCTAAAGCTTAACGACTCAAAGTCTAGCGTCAAATGGCCGGACCAATCTTGGTGTAGTTCTATTGTCAAGTCAGCCCGGTATGTGGAGAATAACCTGAAGCTGTGGACTGTCCTTTCAAAAGCTAACTCTGAACCTTACGAGGGGGATTGGGCCGCACTTTTTAGCTGTCCAGTTTGCACACATCAGATTTCTACAGGAAGATTATCAGACCATCCTTGTAAAGGGTCAGTTCGATGACAACATGGCAAAGATTTTCCGCACACTGCAGAAAAACACAAGCTCCTTCTCAAGTTAGAGCATAAAGACCCTGAAGAGCGCAGCTCAGCTGGCCAGTGCACAGGCAAACACAGGCGGTCCTGGTAACAACTCCAGGCCTCGAGGATACGGCTGGCGTACTCCAAATTCTCGTAGACATGGTGATAGGTATTGCTCTTTCTCCAGGGGCGATGGGTATCACTCTTTCTACGGCAGAAATTTTGGAGGCAGAGGATACCAGAACACAGACTATCGTGATCACACAGATACGGCCGACTGTGAACCCTGGGACTCTTCATTAAGTTGGTTATTACATTGTACACATGTGTAATTGCCTACAGCCAGTCTGTGTTCACAAGTTCATTTTTTCTTATGCCCAAACGATACTGTTAGTGTGTTATTTTAGGACATTGTCAAGTCACATTTCGCGTTGGAGGGATATTGGTGCTGCGGACACTGTTATTTCTTGGTTGTCAGAAGGAGTGCCATTGCAACTGACTGGTTTGCCTCCACAACTAAATTTACCCAATCACAGTGTCACTCCGAAGCAACAGATATTTGTATCCAACATGATACGTGATTTTTACGTGTTGGTGTTATCGAGGAGGTAAACTATAGGGTAAACTGGGGTAAAAACGCCAGATTTTTAAGTTTTTGGTTAAATATCTCCGCACTCCATCAACTGAAAAGTTGAACAAAAGAACAGATACCGGTATTTAGGGCAAATAGTAATAGTAATGAAAACATTTGAAATAAATACATGTTTAGCATTTTATCCTAAAACCTATGTGTGATATTAAAGCACTGTATAGTCATAGCTTCCCCTGTTGTGTGGAGAAACAATTATCCACATGGATTCTTCTCGGGTGGGATTCCCATCCTTGCATTATAGAGCACATTTTATAACCAATAAACCACCAAGAGTACCCGGTGACAAGAGGACAGTTCAGATCAATTAAAATACTTGTATCAACCACCAGGAGAGCATACTGGATGGAATAATCAACAAGATAACATAGTGCTGAAAATTGGGTTAAAATTCATTAGAATCGCTTATCTGCCATGTGATGTTTTTACCTTTACATGACGTTTGATTTGTTTGTGTGATTTTTTTTGTATTCCAAGTGATTATTATACTCAAATGATTTAAATCAAACAACCCTAAAACCGTCTGATACCAAATACCACATTCCAGAAATTACAGGGGGGGGGGGGGAGGGGGGGGGGGGAAAGGGGAATTGTATGAATTCCATACACCCATGTATGGAGCTACATGTATGCATTTGAATATCAGGATTGTTTCATAATTATTTGAATGTGGGATGTTGTGAAATATTAATCAGTATATTATGGAGATATGTGTAATGCATAGAGATATATTAAATAACTAGAGCGGTAACTCCTCATTTTTGAGCGCGGAGACACTTTGAAGCCGCTCTGGGCGCAGACATTTTGAATTTATGAGCGTGTTTGTAGTACACAATCAAAATAGATGGATTGAATTTAAAAGTGTACTCTAAATGCAACGCGCAAGTAAAAGATACGCAAACAACTTAAGCGCGTCATGACGGTTCAAAAAACGTCACGGTGAAAAGAATCTGCAGCGGAGCGACGCGCACACGTTGCGCTGTTTGCGTAGAGCAAAATGAAATGGTCATTTGCTGATCAAGCGTTTCGGTTTTAGGCGTGTAGGCTTCGATGACGCACCGGTATGGAATACAAATGCAGATATGCAAATAGCCGTACAAAAGCGCCTTACTAAAGTTTGAGTTTTCCATGGGTTTGTGCACAAACATGGATGTGCCCATCAGGCATCTCTTTGTACATCGAGTTAGCGCTCTAGTAATTTAATATAGCTCTGTGGTGTAATGTGACAACTGTTTTAATCTTTGGTTGTGTTTCTTACACTTTATATGCCCATTGCTTTTACCACACAAAATTTAATTTGTTGTACATTTCAGTTGGAAAAGGCGTCCTCCGAAAACACTCCACCCCATAGTGCCAGCAGTTTTATCTCAGATAGGCAATCTCCATCAGCATGTAGGCATCAACATAGTCCTGATTTTGAGACAAATGTTAGTACCAGTACATCAATGGAACTCTTGACCCATCAAGACCACTATCAAGAAGGTGCAGTCAATGGACAAGAATGTTTCCAAAGTTTGCCTTGTACTACAAATGTGAAATTATCACCTGTAGTCTGTCAGTCATCACCAAAGATATGCACTGTGGATTGTAACCAGTTAAAGTGCGACTTCAGAGATGACACAGTTGCTGCACTCTCTGCTGAACCTTTCACTACATGTCATCAGCAAGGCCCAGTTCATCAGAAGAGAACAGAGGAATTTAGTGAGGATGCAGAGAAGACTAAACTCCATAATACAGAAACAGGTATGATTGAACACGATCCAAAATTAAAAGTCACAATAACATCAATTTGTACTGATATATACACACATAATTATTTGTACATATGTACATGTAAGGTCAAATTAAACTTCACCCATTATTTGGTGAATTATCAATATTGCCCAATGTATTTATTTTTACAAAAACGAGGTTATGAACTGTGTAATGCATATATTTATAACCTTGCCCAGAGCAGGTACATAATGCATACAAAACAACACGTCTGACATTTTGAAATCCCATGTGGACACATTTTCAAGATGATATTCGTGGGAGCTGCTGACTGATCGTCGTTTTTTTGTTGTTCATTCATAAATACCTAAGACAGTTTACGCATTCCTATTGGTCGAGAGCCCGTCACGTGGCCGGTCTTAAACGGATGATAAAGACATGGCTAGCTGGTCTTAAACACTTTTCCAGTGTCACAATAAAATGTGGACTCCTAAAAATCCAGTGCCTCTTATCGTTTCATTGGTTGAACGTTCACAATCCTCACGTAGGCATGCGCAACACTACCAGGGAATCAGAATTTTAAAGTTCTAAATTCAAAACGCAACGCGCCAGGTGCGTTCTGCGCGACATCGCGCAGAACATGATACGCGCGCGTCAATCTCCATAAAAGGGTTGTTTACATCTTACTCGCCAGCTGAATACTCCATTAATTTGCAAGAGGGATGTTTCAAAAAGCATAAAGTGAATTTGTTGAACAAAATCGGGATGTTTTGAACGAATTATATGATTTTTTCTTACCGAAAAGGTATTTATGAATGGGAATAAATATGTGCTCCGTCGGTATTTATCACTCTGTTTAAGACCACTTAGAGTCTGGGTGCTGATAATTACCCTCGCCTCCGGCTCGGGTAATTATCAGCACCCAGACTCTAAGTGGTCTTAAACAGAGTGATAAAAACCTCCGAAGCACACATTTATTCCCTTATTAACATACACACGTGCCGGGCCTGTGATATGGCCATATCGTACGGGGGAACAAACTCCCATTTGAGGATCATTCAGAACAGCCAATCACAGGGCGCCTTACTTGTACGGTATTTTCGAATACGGCCATACGGCAAATGGTTCATTGTAAGTAATTGGTCCAGGCCCAATCAGACCAATATAAAGACTCACTCACGGCTACCCAGTAGCTGTTTAATGTGTATGTCTAGACGTGCACAGAGGAAAATCAGGAAACTTTGATTTCTTTGCAAGCCAATCAACCATCTCAAACTAAAAGTATCGATAAAATAAGGCCGTGGTTAGTCAAGCTATACCATTTTTCCCCGAGGACTGCTATTCAAGTACGAGTACTTTGATGATCGAGTGCAATTTTGATATGCCTAGTACTTTGCTGCCCGAGCAGGAGTATCGTCATTTTGAGTATGAGTACTTTGACAGTGGAGTACGAGTAAGAGTACACCAAAAAAGTACTCGAGTACGAGTATGGAGTAGGAGTACTATAACCCTGCCTACTCAGTAAAATAATCAAGGCGCCTATGATTGGCTGTTCTGATCATTGGATGCGATTTTGTCCCCGCATTATGATACGGCCATAGAGCAGGCTAGGCGAAGATGCTACGTATTACCAGTTCAATGCAAGCCAGTTCATTCATTCGTGTGTATTACCAGTTGATTCATTAGTGCGTATCTGCTTAAAAGTTAAGTTCGAATCGTTTCATTTCACCCGCTGTGGCAGCTTTCAAAGGTTTTATATGGTAAATAATTTAAATTAATTGAAAAACAAAACACATCCAAGTGGGAGGCCACAAGCTGGCCTTGACCAATTTGCCGAGGCCGGAAGGCTCCAAGGCTGAGGCCTTGCACTTCGAGGCCATCAAAATCGACCTTCAATTGCACTATAAACGAAGAACAGGATTACTTGGTCAGGTGTACATGTACTTACTTCATTTGGAAACCCGAAGTTTTATGAAAAAGTGGAAAATGAACTACCGGTACGGGATAAGGAATTTTCACAAGTATAAAGTGCTGAAGAAGTGTGTAAAGTGACCTGGTTGCAGAGCAGATGGCCACTAGACACACAGGTAGGTGACTGAATTATTTGAAAAGAAGGAAGCTGCTACAAGTCACTGCAAAGAATGCATAGTTTAGGTACATCTGTACCAAATGTATTGTACAAATGAGCCACAAGCGTTCAAGTTCATTTCTTTGTACTTGAATACAGATAATGAATTACTGGAGTTGACATCTATCATCAGTGCTAAGGCAGCAAAATTTGACTCTTCAGATTCAGACAGGGACTTGGAGGAATTACTCCCAGTGTTTCCTAAAACGCAACAACATTTACCACCTTCAAAGTGTATTTATCCACGGACATATCCAGATGCAATTGCATTAGAAAACTCAAGGTATGAAGGTGAGTACTCGATCTGTTCATACCTCATTGCCTGTTACATACGCACATTGTACGTAAGTTTGTAACTTAAAATCGATGGTCGGCAATCAAAATTTTCAGAATATTGTACTTTGTGTTTGCCGCCCTCTTTTGGCTTATGTTTTATACCATTTGTTAGCTTTGTAGACTGGCTACCCAATGGTGTCGTCTGTCTATGTATTGAACGTTACATTTCATAGGGGAAGTGAGAAAGATGCTAGATTTCTGTTGTTTTCCGCGCGTGCTTTGCGATTTGCGTTGTGACCATTCGTGAATTCAAGTGATCTCTTTTGCCCTAATTCCTGCCAAAATCTGCCCGGGGAAACTCCAAACCTACACTATTTGTCTCATTTTTGGTTGTTTACAATGCATGAATGCATACAACTGCTTTCTTAGGCGTTTTCTCATGAAATAGGAGTTGCTTTTGGAAGTGATGCATTCAAAAGTCTCCTAGCAGTTTGTTTTCATATATTTTTTGTCCAAAAATCAACAAAAAAGATTAAAACAACCCAAAATTGTGGTTTTTAAAATGGCCACCATTGAGACAGTCATATTTGGATTGTTTTTTTTTTTTCAGACTGTTTAATGGCCTAGCTCACAAGCTTTCAGATGGTACATGTACCGGTATATAGATTACCCAGACATAATAAAGAATACGACTTAAAAGAGTGCAAGAATCTAACTTAATGGTAAAAAAAACTCCAGATTAGGGCTAAGTTTAAAGGCTTAAAAAGTACTGAAGTAGGCCAGTCAGTCATCAGTTTCTAGGCTAGTAAGTCGCGTAAGTTGCTCAGCCCAGTCGGCCATATTCTAAGACACAGATAAGCCAGTCAATTCTATAATTGAGTTCCTAATTAATCAAAGAATCATCATAATTCTGATCAGTCGCCATATAAGTTATATCCATTTTGTGATTGTTAATTTTATAAATGTATAAACCTGTTTCGGCAATTATTTAGGCGGCACCTAAGCCCTTAAGACACTCCATTGGAAAGGCCTTCTTTCGTTGATTTCTTCAAAATGACAGCTTGCCAGAAAGAATAATTTTAGAGGGAGTTTAGTCCCCTACTATTTTTCAACCATGTATGTTTTCAATAATAATTACGTCTGTTACTTTTTGGATAGCTGCAAATGATGGACTATAGCCTTAAACATAGATGTTAACTTGCGATCGGAAACCTCTTCGCAGAATACGCGCACGCATATGCTGATGAAACACGCACATTATTGATTGAACTGCGCGCTGCCGCTGCGTAGGAACGTTTATGACGTACATGATTTGCGCGTGAGCAAGAGTGAATGCTTTGAACACTTAAGTTAAGTTGAGCACTAAGATAAGTGGGGTGCTTAGATCTTTCGTAAATACCATGTTAAGCTCTCCACATAAGTTAGCAGGGTGCTTAGATTTAAGTCTGACTTAAGTATTTTCTTAAGTTTGAGTTTTGTGAATACGGCCCAAAAAGCCTGTTGCTTTTTGGCCAGACAGGTTTTCAAAGGTCAAGGTCCCTATTGCTAAAACAATAAAAATCTTTTCAACGCGATAACTTGAGAAATACTTTGCTTAGGAACTTGAATGTTGTTTGTGGGTTGTTCTTGATAGTCTTAAAAAGCCTGTTGCTTTTTGGGCAGACAGGTCAAAGGTCAAGGTCACTATTGGTAAAACAATAGAAATATTATCAGCACGAATGCTTGAGAAATACTTTACTCAGGAACTTCAAATTTGGTGTGTAGATTTTTGGGCTCACTGGTCAAGGTCACTATTGCTTAAACAATATCTTCCATCTTGGTTATGGACACTGTGTTTATAAAAACTGGCAGCAGGCCAGGGGGGATTGTGCAAGTCTCAATTGCAGTATTTTTGCAATGTGTGTTAAAGCATGTTTTAAGAACTTGCAAAAGTTTTATTTTTACCCTATTTTTGTCCCTAACAAAGTCAACTTCCCAGGCGTCTCAGAATATTTTCCTTCTGGATTTGGTTAAAGCCAACATTGGTCTTTCAACATTGGTCTTTCTGGTGAGAAAACTTTGGGGATTGTGTATCCTCTTTAGACAGTACTACATCAAAAATGGTTGTTTTCCTCAAAAATAGGAAAAGTGAAAATTGAGGTTCTCCTTCAGTTTGAAGTAATACACAAAAAATAACACTTTTATGAATCTTACCCCTTTTTCAAATCATAACAGCGATGTGATTGCAATGTGGTTGCGATTTCAAAAGGTTCCGAATACTTAAATTTGAATGAAACAACATGCATACAGACATGTTGATGTTCGCCGGCGAAATCTTTAAAAATCAGTTTCTCATGTTTGGAAGACTGTATCTTCATGCAACTTTTAGGTTTGTTTCTCTTATAATGATCCAATTATGTGCTAACAATCGTTTTGATCTGTTCAGTACTTTTCGTTGAAATTGGAAAAATAGGCCTGATTACGTACATTTTTTAAAGGTGTAACACTGGTGTCCACTTCGGGCCCTCTCTTACCTGCTAATTCCTACATATGCATTATTCCTTATAGGCCGCAGGCCATACCCGCTAGATTTTACGTCTACCACAGCGCCCTCTGGGCCAATACCCGATACCCATGATACCAAGCGGCATATCGTCCTCTTTTCTTCTAGCGCCGATCCGGTGTAGTCGTATTCTATTGAAGCTCTCTCAATATACGATTTTCGCTAGCTCTAGAAGTTCTTATTCTCCTTTAAACTTACTGTTGGTTTCTACCGAGTTCTTGTTAGTTTGTTACAGCATTCCTCAGATTTTCTTGTTATTAAATTCAGTGTTCAGAGTTAACTTTTTGCAAACGTTCCTCGTTTCGTGTATTTTTCAAGATGGCGGACGCAAGTAGCCCGCGGCGTGGTCTCACCCTGCCAAATTGTGTTACTTGCACAAAGTGGAGAATTATTAAACCGCGATCCAGGAAGGATGCACATTATTTATGCCCCAAGTGTAGGGTTTGTTCACGGGCCCACCCGTGCGAGATATGCGCTCAGCGTGGCTGCGCAGTCATTCCCCCGGTGGTGATTTGGTACGAGCGGTTCTTTGGAACCCTTTGGCCGACAAAAGTCTTCCCTACTAGGCTCTGCTGACATGCCTGATAGGCCATCAGCTGAAACTAAAAAAACGGCTGTAAAATGAGTTTCGTTCCAGCAACACTGGGTCTACTTTTTTAATGCACATATGTGGGGTTCAGTACATCACAAACACTATGTCAGAAGTTCTCCAGCAAATCTGCTGCAGTTTTTTTTACACTTCATCAAAGTTTGCCAATGTTATGTACATGTATGTATGCTAAAAACCCACATTTTCCGGTTGAGGCCTTGCGTTGGCACTTCCAATTTCAAAACTACAGCACTATAGCTTGTCACATCCTACACTCTAGAAACTCCTGGGTCAGACTCAGTCTGCTCAGTCCTTTTCCGGGTCAAAAATTGACCCCTTTTGGAGTCATAAATGACCCCTTTGGAGTTAAAAAAAGACATGTTTCTCGGTCATTTTGACTGAAATGTGTATTTTTTTACCCAGAAAAGGACTGAGCAAATTTGGATTCAGATTCTGGGTCAATCTGACCCAGGAGATTTTACAGTTAAAAAATATCTTTTATGTACATTGGCAATTTGGTAACACAGAACATGACCCTTTGTTTTCTCATCTGGTAGACATCACCACAGTCCCTCTTCCAAAAATATTTCACTGTAATCTAACTTATTTGGCAGCATACAACAATGCAATTATTTTGAATGTTTATAATGCAGTGGTGGAACCAGCTCATCATTAATGAAAGTGAGGGGGTGCCCAAAATGGAGGTGTCTTTAGAGTAAATGAATACCGGTACATGTAACCAGCAGAAGAAACAGGAAAGCAGACAAGACATGCCCCTTTAAACAAAGCAAACTAACGCATGTCAAAAAAAAAATCTGCTGTGGTGAACCAGGTACGTCACTTAAAGAACCTTCTACTTGTAAGAAACACCACTTTTTTTGGAATGAAACAGGCTTTAAATACAATTATAAATCAAAGGACCATCAGAAGTCAGAGTCTGGTTTAATAATTTCAAAAATCAACCATTGTACATTTATTTGCTATCTGATCAAAACAGCCCTGGCCATCTTGGTTTGGAGAAAAGCCTTAAGATCAGTCTTTTGTTAAAGAAAATTTCAGCTACATGTATTTCTTTATTGATACATTGATTAGCACCGAAAAATGTTTGCATCTATATCAATAAAAAAAAAACCCACCATAACTCATGCTATTTTGTATGCTTACACATTAAAAAGAGTGATTTGGCTTGTCATATGTGGCTAGTCTCACTGTTAAAATTCACAGAATTTGCTTTTCTACTGGAACTAATTTTTAATAAATGAAAAGAATAAAAATGAATAAAACCAACATTAATGAACAGAAGGACACAATCATGTAGTTTTGAAATCTAGAGTTACTCATTATTTTCATTAAAATGTCAAATGCTAACTAGTCGTGCTGATACAACTTCAAGTAAATGTTATCACTACATCAAAGTTCTCATCAAATCTTGTGCAGTAACGGCATAACAACAGGATGGAGCGTATGTCTTGCTTTCTAAGCCAAAGTTTCAGTTTTGAATCCTCCTCTGAAGTCGCCAGAGATTCAACCACACCTCCAGCAGATAAAGTAGCGGTGTAGATGATGTCGCATATATTCAAGGAAAGAGACCTGTGGATATTCTCTTCTAAGCTGATATGTCAACTTATCACTTCTGTAAAAAAAAAAAAAATAGTAAAATATAGACAGGTTTAGTATCTGATGACCAAAAACAATGATTACTGTGGACGTGCTTTAGAAGAAAGAAAACAACTTGTTCAATCTAGAGTTAAATTACTAGAAAGATCATGTGCTCGATCGTTTTTGCCTTCCACTGTAAATATGTAAACATTGGTAGCTATTAAGAACCGACCTTTTCAGCTTCAAAAGCAATATCAAGAAGTTTTCATTTTGAATATTCTATTA